TTTACCGCATCATTCAGATTTTCCAATTGACGGCCGCTTTCCTATGCCGTCATTTTCAGGCAATCCAATTGGACCGAGCAGTCCCTTTAGTTGTCTATCTGACACCATTTCTGCAGGTATACAGGGAGCCAGGCATGTTCAAATCGGAGTCCCTTTAACAGATCTCCACCTTAGCAACAAACTGCAGTTGGGACTGTTACCATCCAGTGTCCTGCATCTTGATCCCCATGGTAAAACTTCTGATAATATTGTTGGAAGCCACATGGATAGTAATGAAAATATATCTTGCTTGTTAAGCATGGGGAATTCTAGTAAGAAGTCGGAGAAAACTGACCATGTAGTAACACCTCGGTTTGTACTCTTTGGTCAGCCGATACTCACTGAGCAGCAGATGTCTCTTGATTGCTCCAGTGATGCAGTTTATAAAGTGTCATCCGCAAGGAGTTCCTCAGGTGGGACACCATTCAAGGCTGAAAACTTTGTTTTTGACCAACAACGTACTCCTAAGAGTTTGTCTCTGTGGAAGCCAGGCTGTCATGCAGCTAAACTTGGACTGGATACTGGTCACTGCAAAGTATTCTTGGAATCAGAGGATGTGGGCCAGACCCTTGATCTGTCAGTTCTTGGATCATATGAAGAGCTATATAAAAAGTTAGAACACATGTTTGGGATTGAAAAATCTGAAATGGTGAGTCGTGTGTTCTATAGAGATGCAGCAGGTTGTGTTAAACAAGCTGGAGATGAGTCGTTCGGGTAAACATACATACAATTTTTTATTTTTTATTTTGGTGACATCTGGAATTTTACACTTGAAAGGCATTTAAGTTTTCTTGATTGCATTCTGTGGACATTTTTTGTCCATTTTACTGTCCTGCAGTGAGTTCATGAAGACAGTAAAACGATTGACGATTCTCGGGAGACCCAGTAGTCAAAGTGCTGAAAGGTAAGTTCTTGTGTTCCATGCTAATCTATGTATTTTTGGGGTTATGCATCAAGTAAAGCTCTTCAAATATGATGGTACAAAAAAATTGTGAGATATGCTTGTTTATCCTAATTCTCATTTTGGGTGTAACCATTGAATTGAAGGTACATCGATTTTGTATTTCAGGAAATTGATTATTGGTGTGCCGACTGCTGAATGTGGACTAGATTCTTCTAACCGAGCAGGACCCATGAGCGTATTTGTTTAGTAGCATTCGAGTCGAAGTAGGAAATTATGTATGAATGTCTTGATAAAATTGTGGTTGTTTACTCTATCAGGTAGGAATTTGGAAGAAACTTGACCAAAGTATGTTCAATGGATTGATGATATGGCTTCAATTTTGTGAAGTTTCCACCATCATGTCTAGCTAAGGGTATAGCTTAGTTTGTGTGTATTTTTCATGAGATTGTTGATGCTAGTCTTATATTTTATTTTTTATTCTTTTGATTATGTGCATTAGCCATTTGTTCTATGGTACTCAGTTTGATGTTTTGTTTATTGGATTGGACTTTCCATTATAGAAAGGGAAAATTGCAACCACGGTACAAACTTTTCACTTTTATGCAGACTTGACTCAAACATTTAATTTGTGCTACCCATGGTATCAAACATTTTAAAAACTCGCACCTGAAATCCAATTTAACAAAAACTGTTGCTTTCTCTGTTAGTTGACCAAAAGTTAAAGATTTGACCTAATTTTGACTTCTTTTACAAGGCTAAAATGATAAATTTATATTTCTTATAATTAAAAAATAAAATAATTAAAATTAAAAGCCGAAAGAAGAAGAAACCTTACATCTTCTCCACTCATCCCACCCAAGCCCAAAAACCAGAACCTAACGAACTTTTCAGCCATCGCCATGCACCTCATTGACCACTGCTGCCTTAACCGTCATCATCCACTTGTAATGAAACACCATCCATTTGCGTTCTACTATCAATTTTGCTTGTTTGTACCTTTAACAAATCCTATCCATGAAATTCCACTGCCACATTGAAACACCAGATTGAAACATATCCACCAGATCCCACGCATCAATAGCCATCCATGGTGAAAGAGATCTGAACACCATCACCATAGCCACAACCTACAGCAAAACACTAACACTACCATTGTTACGTCTCCTTCCACGTGGCCGACCCATTGTAACACTTGGCCCACTCAAGCCGAAGCACATTGCATGATGGCCGAGGCCCTAAAACCAATGAGGAATGTAAAGCGGTCAATTCTTCAACCGAGGCTAAGCATCATGAAATCCGAAGACCATTGGCCGAGGTGGGTGAGTCCGAGGCCCCTATGCCGAAGCTCAAGCCTCCAAAGCACCTTATCATATCACTGCTTCCAAGAGATCTGATTTTACACACAAGTATCTTCTTTGAATGACTGATGGGACGTTTGTCATAAGGTTTAAGTGTCAAGTCTTGTCAAATAAAGAAGTGGCTCTGCACAGTTAATGAATGCATAGCAAGCTGACAAGTCAAAAATGATGCCTATGATTAGATATGTGAATTAAGAAAATGAAGCCACGTGTACTCCCATCCGAGGGCCACAATTCAATTTGCACCACTATATATACTCTCCCATATAACTCCTGTAGGACTAATGCAACTTTGAATACAAAACACTACACATCATTTTACTCTCTTGCAAGTACAACCAAGTTTACATAGCATTCATCCACTTCGATTGGTAATTATTGTATGATCGTCCCATAAATGTTTTGCCGAATTTCGAACGTTTCCGTCTCGAACATTTGAGCCGCTCCCACGCCCCTTCTTAGAACTTTCTAGATCGTCTATGCGTCTTAGCGTTCTGGATCTGGTTACTTGTGTGCAGGTGGGTCTGATATCTATTGTCCACGTAGCCCCAACCGGAAACGAGGTCAACAACCACCACCACCAGCATAGTAACCCACTAACACCACCACCTATTGAAGAAGAAGGAGAGAAGCCAGAAGGGCTCACCAAATGCAAACCCAACAACTTTATCGCAATAAACAAGTCCAAATTGAATTAAAGTGAACTCACAAGCACCAAAGGTCTCGAACCTTTGAGCCGCTCCCACGCCCCTTTTCATAACTTTCCATAACCGTTTGTGCGTCTTAGCATTTTGGATCTGGCTTACGTGTGTGCAGGTGGATTCGACATCTGTTGTCCACATGGCCCCAACCGAAAACGAGTCCAACAACCACCACCACCTACTGAAGAAGAAGTAGAGAAGCCAGAAGGGCTCACTGGATTCAAACCCAACAACTACATCGTAAAAAACAAGTACAAATTGAATTAAAGTGAACTCACAGGCACCAGATTCATAACCCAATGCCCAATGCTTATTTTATGCTCAATTCATTTACTTATACAAATTGAGAGAGATTTATATTGTAGATTAGGGGTTTTAATAGAAGAAGAAGTGGCCTAAATAATCCAAATGGAGTGGTGGTGGAAGGAGCGTTGACCGACGTAGGCTGGTGGTGCCGCCAGCGATAGCTGCCGATGGTTTTGGGGTAAAGGGTTTTGGGAAGAAAGGGATGGTGGTGGGTGGTGTGTTTTATTTTTGTTTTTTATTTAATTATAAATATATTACAATTGTATTTTTTGTTGAAAATGTAAAGTTACCATTTTATCCTTTTAAAATTAGTGAAAATTATGGTCAAGGTCAATTCTCTGGTCAAGTAATGGTCAAACTAACAATTTCTATTAAATTAGACTCGGAGTGCGAGTTTTTTAAAGGTTCGATACCATGTGGCACAAATTAAAGGTATGGGTCAAATCTGCATAAAAGTAAAATATTTAATATTGTGGCTGCAATTTCCCCTTAAAATTGAAATATAACTTAATCCCTACCAAAAATAGACAAGAATATATTGACTGATATAGGATTAGGTTAAAGGCCCTCTTCAGAACTCTATTCTTGATAAACTTTATTCTATCGAATCAGTGTATTCTTATCTACTTAAAATATAATTTGATATGAGTCCAAATTTCTTATCTCGTCTCGTCTCATTTATCTCAATATTTAATGTCACATCACATAAGATGATTTATTCGAGAAAATCTATATTTGATACTAAGGGTCTGTTTGACATGAATTCTGTTACTTGTAGAAGAATTTTCGGATGAAGTTATTTTATGTGCGTTTCCTCTAAAAATTCTTATAACTGGATAAAATACTTCTAGAAAACTATTCGAACATATTTAGAAGTAATTTTTTAATCTCAAAAATAATTATTAGCTTTTCAAAAATCTTGTCAACCAAATCTTAAAATACTCGAAATATGTGCAATGGATGGGCTGTACTTGATTGAGTTTGGAATATGTTGACAACCCCCACATTGTAAAGTGACGACCCCATTATTGAATTGTTATGACATCTAAATTGAGGTGTGGTTTTGATCAAAATTTGATACAATGAATAATCACGTCACGTGTAGTTCCACTCCCGTCGCCCCCTTGGTGCTCGAGACCGTAGTGTGTTTAATTGCCCTAACATTAATGCCCTCTTTGACTTAATAATTCTTGATTAAATCATGCTATTTTCTCGGTTACTATAATTATGATAATGTGAAAATTTGTAAGAGTCATGATGAAATCACAATATAAAAAATTTCTTTATTATTTAATGAGATTTTTTTACTGCTTAATGATTTTGAGACTTAGGACCTACTTTATGTTGATTTTAAGAATAATATTTATAAAATGTGAAATTTTGGGAGAGCGTGCGTTAAAAAAAGAAAAATGTTATGGGCTCATCGAAAAAATTATTTTATTAAGAAAATGTGTGATTGAAAATGAATAAATTTTAAAGAATTTATACCAAATATAGTCTTAACAATACTTTAAAAGAATAAAATATTTCAATCATCTTGGAATTGGGCCAAAAGGTTTACTTAAATACACAAATCTGGCTCGAAATAATCATAGTAAGGTATATAGTATCTTTTGGCTCGAAATAAAAGAATTCCTAAATCTAGACAGATTTCTATATACTATCTTCTTTTTTCTTTTATACCATTTTGACGGAATCCTGATCAACTTGCACTAGGGATGATTTTTCTTTAAAAACATCTACTTTTTCTATTTATGTGGCTAAAAGAATTTAGCAATTCACAGTTGCGTTGAAGATACTCTTATGCTCAACTAGACATTATTATTGCTGTCAGACCCATGTATTATGTAACATTTAGGTAAGATACAGCATCATCAACAATCAAGAAGTGTCACGATTTACTTAACTCTAAGAATGAGGATGCTATAGTCGCAAAAGTATGGTTGTTCTATGTAATCTAATAGCCCTCAACTAGATATCATAGTTATTTCTCCCTCCATGTAAAAAATTGGAAAAACCATTAATACTCTTAACATATTATCACTTGACTTGACATGCAACAACTTAATTCAAGCATGACATCATTTGTGAGTCATAAGAAATCTTATAATGGAAGACAAACATAGCATATCAATGTATGTAATCATTTCACAAATCCCACATCTAATCTTAGTTTCTATAATCTTCATTTACAATTCTAAGGTCAAAAATAAATTTCTAAAAATTGAGGAAAACGAGGGGCAGTCTCAGCGAATACTAGGGGCGGTAAATGGGTCGAGCGATTTGTGAGCTCGACTCTACTTGGCTCAGCTCGAGCCAATATTTCTTTCACAATTCAAGCTCATTTGAACCGATGAGCGCGAGCCGGCTCATTTGGGCTTGTCTATACGAGCCAAGTCGTTTAATCTTGTGGGTCGACTTGCTTTATTTCCTCATTTTTGGACTTGATTTATTAATCTTTTAAAAAATTGCTCCTTTTTGCCTCATTTTACTAATTTATTAAAAAAAACGACAACAACAATAAAAAAAAATAAAAAAAATCAAGATGGCTTATGGACGGCTCAACTTGTGAGACCCATAAGCCTAAAGTTATTTTGATAAAAATTGATTAAATATGTAGTTAAATAAAATGAATCTCAAAAAATGTATTGTTAAGATTAATTGTTGAATTTGACTTAAATTTTAACAATTTTAAGGCTGAACAAAACGGGGCCAAATTCAATTCTCATTATTCCAATATTATCCCCCTTTGTTTTCTGTCCAAACACACATATTGGTGATAATATTTTTAAAATGCTTTTTTAAATACTTTATAATATCCTGATTATTTACGGAATGTGATAATTACTAGTAGAAAGTAGTAAATTTGGTGTGATGACATTTTTGCTAAGCTTAGCTGATTCCATCTATCGTGAATTGATAAGGTTGGAAAAGTAAAATCTTAGCAATTCTAACTAAAAATATTGATTATGTAGAGACAGACACCGGTATTGAATTTGCTTACAAGATAGTTTAATTAAATACTTAATCGACAAACTTTTTAACACAAAATTCAACATTTTACTCAATACAAAGTATTCACGCATCTGAAATATAAAATTTCCTTGAATTTATATTCAAAAAAATAAAGTAA